TCCAACAATATGTATACAGAGAGCACATTGTATTCTCCATCCCATCCTGAGTGTGAACTAAATAACCCCACAAGGTTATCACGATTATCTGTGGGTAGCTTATCAGTTATCTCCCACTCAAAGTCACCATACCTTCTGACACTCTGCCACTTGTTATAACACAAGTGCTAATATATAATAGTTATTAAAGTATCGTGTACCCCGTGTCAGTAATGTAACCCGAGAGGGGCGCGCAACCGCCTGCACTACACACACAGGAGAGTAAAAGTGAGCGGGGCACCTGCGTTACTGGTGTCTCGAGGAACCCATTCACCCCATCATCTTGGTGCGGCTGACATACGTCGCAGAAGCACATTTGTTGATCTTGATATCAATTTGTATATATCTATTGTCTAAGTATTAATATGTTTTGTAATCCCTACCTCATATACCTGCTTTTATTGTACCACCAAAACCGTTTTATCAGAAATTATCATGTAGAAAGAGAAAAAATTAAAATTGCAAAAAATATCCTTGCTAACTAGACAATCCTGACAACTCTGTCCTCTTGTTCCACCTTAATACAACCCATGTTGTACTGCTTCCCTCCCTTGTCATATTTATTGTTTTCAATTCCACTGTAAATTATGTATATACTTATAATATAAATGTAAAAAGATAAACAAAATAAATAAATATCGAAGTGATGCCGTGGTAACATTCTGACATGTTCTTTTTACCACCATGCTATGTTTACTATTCCAGTTGATACTAAATGTTACATAATACTTCCTTGAGATAAATGTACAGTAGGCTATATACCAGGTGCCTACAAGAGAGCTCAGGCTCTCAACTGGCTCAGCCATGTTAATATTATGATTTTTAATCGACTCTGTATCTGTGTTGTTTTGGCTAAATTAACTGTTTCAATATCAGTATAAAAAACTTGCAGCCACGTGTGTTTTATAATGTGTGCGTCAGCCACACCGATATGAGTGGGGTGAACGGGTTCCTCGATAAACGTAAGTAACACTGGTGCCCCACCTACTTTTAACCTCCGTGAGTTCCACAGAATCACGTAAAAAAAAATTAAAGTGAATTGTTGTGGATTGGGTAGAGTAGAGTCGTTTCTTAAGTGATACTGTAAATATAAGTGCAAAAATGAACATAGCTAACATCTCACTCCAGCAAGAAAAATAATTTGACAAAGCCTAACAAAATTATTGGACAGAAAGGATAACTCGATGAAGTTTTTTTTTTTTCACTGATCGGCTCGTTGTTTGGGCGGTCGGACACATCTCTTACACACTATTGGTAAGTACTAGGCATGTACAGTACTAGGTTCTAAAATGTATCTGTACCTGTGCCAGTGTTGGTCAAGTCTGGCCTTGAATGAGCTCATACTCACTGCCATCATCATGCTCTCTGACAGATCGTTCCAATAATTTACAATTCTCACTCGGGAAACGTTTATCCTGACAATTTTCTGGACTTGTGACTTCTTCAACTGCCTGCGTTCCAATCTATCCGGGTAACTGAGGTGCCGTAGTCCTAGGGAGTAGCATATCTCGGGGACCAGACGGGGTGACTACTCCAAATGGGGAAGCACCTCACTCTTGAAGAGCGTTACGAGGAACAGACCATCTTGATATCTGAATGACCTTATAAGACCTACGAGCTTAGTTGTTTTATTCACCTTTTCACAATGGCCCGAGAACTTCAGTTCGTTATCAACATACACACCCAGGTCCTTTACACATTTGGTCTCCGTTTGTTATTTCTTCGTCCCGTTGGGACATGTGATATGCCTCCTCACTGTTAGCTTCCTCTTACACTTCGTGACATTGAAATCTTAACATCCATTCCTTCAACCACTCTTGACGCTAATGAGATCTTTCTGTAGCTCTTCACAGTCCGTTTGGTTATTAATTTTCATGAATAACTTGACATCGTCCGCAAATATTTGTATGGAGGAATGTATAGCGTCTGGCATGTCATTTATGAAACAAACAACAACGGGCCCAGTACACTGCCCTGTACCCCACTTGTCACGGGTACGCATGGCGATTTCGTGCCATTATTCACCTCTCACTGCTTGCGGTCATGAAGAAAATCTCTGATCCACACCAAGGACACTTCCTCGAATCCTGTACTTTATAATTAACTGGTAAGCAAGAAGAGGATATGAACAAGCCTGTATTCATACTTTCTACCTGTTTTTAAGTTATTTATTTATTTATTTTAATCACTCACCTCTTATTTAACCCCCTTCGTTTTTTTTGTACCCATTTGTCCTCAACAGAAATACGGGAGAGTAGGGACACCGAATTTAGTGTTACTAAATAATGTAAATACAAACTTTGAAAGAATTACTCTAAGGATAGATCGTCAACATTTCTTACGCTGCTATAATAGGAATGAATAAGTACTTCGTCTCAGAAGCAGTTCAGATGCAAAATTTTGGATTCTATCACAATATGTTTCCGGTATGGCTACAGTGAGAGGGGAACCAAGATGCCAGACTGACGTCATGCTTATAGTACCCGTGGTTATTGATCGACAGTTTTCGTTTTATATGCTAAACAGAAGAAGAGTGCCAAACAAATCCGACATATTTTACTATAATCGAAAATGTTCTCAAAATGCAGACACATGGATACATTCAGAATCTTCTCAGTACGCTTTTCGTAACAGTAACTCCTTAGTCAGATTATTTAAACACGCCTTTTAAGTTGTGAGAATGAGTAAACGACACTTCTCTTACAATATGGTATCGAGTCGGACCCAGGGCCGTAGATAGAATTTGGTCAACTCGATGACATGTTGGCGCCATGTTGTTACTCAGCAGATGAAGAAGTTTGCGGCTCGAACTGTAGAGGAGAAGGAGGATGATGTTTATACCTTAAATTGTCATACATATTTACAGTTGGATAAGCATGTTTATAAACTATGTAGGAGACAGCCCCAGAAGACTTCCCGCCCGCTGAGTAACAACATGGCGCCTGGTTGGCCAAACTACGGCGCGGCACTGGAGCAATTCGGAGCGTCATCTTGGGAGCGTTTAGAATCCCAATTATCAGTGATTCCCAAACTGGGGGGCGAGAGGTGATACAAGGGGAGGGAGGTGAGGCCATGTGAAAAACATATTGACATTTTTTCTTTATTGGGAAATTTTCAATTAGCTGTGTAATTTTTTTATTAGTATCTTCCCATGCACAAGGTACATGGATAAAATAGTTAACAGTTAGTTTATCTTAAAATTCATGTAAATATGAGTACAAGGTGTAAAATGGATTAAATCGATTTAAGAAATGGAGTGGTGAGGGTTTGGTTAAAAAAAAAGAAAGGTGGGAGTCATGTGAAAAGGTTTGGGAACCACTTTAGACGATCGTTTTTCCGCTTGACTTACTTTGAGTGCTCTAACATACTGGAAAGTGGTCCATCATAATCACAATTATACTTTACCTGCTAATTTAAAAGCTGATATTCTTATTTTTTATATTGTAATAACCGACATTCTTAAAGACGTTAGTTGTTGAACCACAGAAGTACGTAAAGTTGTGAACAAAATTACCTGAACACTGGGCAATATTATTCTACTTCTGGGTCATATAATTGATAAGTTTATAAAGCTGCTTTTCTTCACATGCCGGAACCAATAAATAAATAAATAATACAAAGAAATATCGGAGAAAATAGTTAAAATTCCAATATCTCTAATGAGCCCGCAACTGTTCCTAACAATTCACGCTATGTAAGATTAAATCTGAATATTTTTACTCACAAGCAGTACTGTAATCTAAATTGGTGCATATTACCACACTATTAATATGTGATAAATTTCCTGTCATATCAACCGTATACATAAGCTTGGCCGTAAGAGGATGTGTGCTTATCTCAACGTTATCAGCGGAAAGAGCGACTGACTGCACCACAGCCCGTGACACTGACGAGCGTTGTTCAGTACGACTGTTGGTGGCGGTGCACAAGGCTGCGTTTACTTAACATGGTTTCTTAGTATTAAATCTGATTAACAAGATTTTTTGTTTATCAATTTAAAGTTAACATAACGATAATCAACTACTTTTTGCGAAAAAAATACTGTATAATGCTCGATTTTTACTGAAATCGTTGCCATTTGTGATGGCCCGTACGATAAATTACTAAAGTGGCATTTTTTGTTTTTATATTTCACTTTATAATGAAAACCAATCCAATGTATATGATTAATGCCTGGTGACGGTGCAACAGTGATGAATTTGGTACAAAGTCGTCTTTAATAGGCCACTACCTGGTCTGCGTGGGACGATAACATTCACAAGCCGCCGCCACAACCAAGACCAGCTGCTGAGTCAGCGGATCACGTAAACTTTTACTTGTATCCTCCCCGCCACTGTTCAGCTCGTTAGCCGCTTGGGCAGTAGGTCACTCTGTTACGCAATTTTGGCAAGTCCTGATTTACTGGGTCCAGCATGTACCTGCGCCATTGTTGGTTTTGTAATTATACTGCTATAAATGCAGCGAATGCAAAGAGTGTTTTTCTTACAGAATTTGTGATTTGTAGATGAATTACGTTTATTTACACTTTATGACGTAATTGTGAACACCATATGGTAAAACGAATAAATTGACTGTAAAGCACAACGGTTAACCACCTAAAATGCTATACACAAAGATAAGATTAACACTATACTGTACATAGTTGCAAATGTCAGTCACAACTACCTCATGATATGATGCTGTAATACTGAACGCTACACGTGAAGTTTCATTGCTGTATGACCAAAAGAGTTTGATAAAAAAAAAATCTGAAAAGTGAATTATGACTGATGCTGGTACGGGATAAATTAACTGGCAGCAGCATGAGACAAGAAAAGCTGCACTAGTGTATAATAGTGTCAAATATCAGTAAGGTGTGTGTTTAAAGGACTGGGCTTGTGGAAAAGTGAAGTGGTATACAAGATCAAACGAAAAATAAATTTGGCCCTTAAGAAAAATTATAATTAGAGATATATCAACAGAAGTGCCTAGACGCTGGTGACAAATAGTGAAGATGTCTGACACCAAGCTGTTCTACGTGGTCAAATCACAAGACGCAGAAAAGGCGAGACTTTGCAGCACTAGTGACGACGACGATGGTGAAAACATCGAGTATGACGCCTGCAGGATCAAGTAGGTGATACACACACACATTGTTGGTAGATGGTGTTGGGTTGGTAGAAGCATGACATCTTTTAACTGGCTGAGTATGATAGTGACAATAAATAGAATATAGTTGTTGGGCGGCCACAGCTTGAGATAACGAGAATACAGGGCCGTTACCAACATCTATTATTATTATTATTATTATTATTATTATTAATTTGTTCTTATATTTGTTTCTTCTCTTTAGTCTTGTTTACATAAAATGCCAGGAGCCACAGGCAAAATCAGTATATCAAATGACCAGTAAAATGAATGCGACTGGTGATATTGGACGTTACTGAAGCTTGTATGGCAGTATTGAAAGACTGATTCTTGGGAATCACAAAGTATTTAGGAAGCCAGTAAGAAGTTTATGGAATAATTATTACCGAGTGAAACCTAAAGTTCATGAGCATTATGATCAAGTGAAGCGGTGAAAATTCAAGCAGTGAGATGAAAAGACTCGAGTTAACCTCATTAAAGCAATACAAGAAAAATATTCTTATAATTTTTTTTTATGGAAATTCGAATTCAAGATCACTGAAGAAACGAAGAGAACTCAAGTTAGAGCACATGGAGTGTGGCTTAGCTTCGTGAGTAAGTAATGTGAACTTCGATTGAAGAATCGACAGTGTGAACGTTGATTCATTAATCAACATTGTGAACTTTGACTCAGGAATCAACAGTGTGTACTCGGGTTCAGGAATACTCACCACAGGAAATGGACATCAGCTGGACACTTATAAAGATAACGCTGGAAACTCGGACAATAAGATAAACCGGCATGGATGGAGTGTGTTAAGGTTACCTGTGAGACATGACGCACTGCCCCCTGAAGGAGTGGGTCTGCCAGAGGTCGTGGAGCGGCAGGGCGGCGGCGGCGGCGGCAGCGAAGGCAGCATCGTGAGGCGGGTAGTGGCCAAGTGTCGCCCCGGGCCCGGCGCTATCCCACACTAGCCCCGTCCCCGGCGCGGCCCCACCGTACACGCCCCCGCCGCCCCCGTATGTCACCTCGTAGCCGAACTCTGCAGGAGGAAGTCGGGTGGTGAGGCTCCTGGCCGCAGCTGGGGGAGCACAAGACACCTACAATGAACGCTAAACTGCCACCAAACACACTGATAACACGCTGAAACACAAGGGTGGTCAGTGCTGAAATAACAGGACTACGCCGAAATTCAAGCGTAGATACGGTAAAACATGGGTTATCTATCTACGCTGAAGTAGTCGCTGCTGAAAAATGAGGATAAGACACTGAAACAAGCGCAGGTACGATATAGTATGTATATGTGTGAGGAAACACAAGCAGAACTACTCTGAAAGGCTGAAACTCAAGGGTACACCGAATTACCAGGTTGACTACATGGAAACAAATAGGTTTACTTGTGACTCAGACTTACTCATCAACATCTCTGTTACCAGTTCCCCTACAGTACACCGATCATTGTGTGGTTTGTCGAGGCTTGGTCAGTTCCGTTTGCTTTATCACATTTGTCTTTTGAGCCAATTTTTCTAACACTGATAAAGCAACATAATGTGGTTCAATACAACTAACGATTACATATATATATATATATATATATATATATATATATATATATATATATATATATATATATATATATATATATATATATATATATATATATATATATATATATATATATATATATAAATATATATATATATATATATATATATATATATATATATATATATATATATATATATATATATATAATATATATATATATATAGTATATATATATATATATATATATATATATATATATATATATATATATATATATATATATTATTTTGACGTATTACGGAATTTTTCGATATTCAGGGACGAATTAATACGAAGTACAATTACATCACCCATTATCTTCATATTAGTAACCTAACACGACAATACACAAGCTGGTGACCTCGCTAGGTTCGACTATAGACCTGTATTGGGATTTGGCAGGAGTCCATGGGAACTTTTGGGGGTGTAGTCATTGCCCATACTGGACAGTCCTGTTCACACCCAAACCCTGTCGCCCAGCGTGTTCGAGTTAAGAAGATGTTTGGTAACTTGTTCCATTCATCCACTACTCTATTTCCAAACCAGTGTTTACCTATCTTGCGCCTAAATCTAAATTTGTCTAATTTAAAACCATTGCTACGAGTTCGCTCCTGGTTGGATAGTTTCAGTACCTTTGTTATATCACCTTAGTTTATAATCCTAACTTCCATTTATACACCTCGATCATATCGCCCCTCACTCTATACGTCTCTTGAGGGAGTGCAAATTCAGTTGCTTTAATCTGTCTGTACTCAAGGTTTCTAATTCCCGGGGTTAGTCTTGCCATCCTCCTCCGAATGCTTTCTAGGGATTTTATATCCATTCTGTAGTACGGTGACTAGAACTGAACCGTGTAATCCAAGTGAGGTCTCACAAGCGCAAGATATAGTTTTAGGATAAACTCGCTAGTCTTTTAACTAACACTCCTTTGGATGAACCCAAGTACTTTGTTAGCCTTGTTTCGAGCAAATACGCATTGTTGTGTTTGTTTAAGATTCCTACTTATCATTACTCCTGAATCTTTCTCACAGTCGGCCATGGTATTACGTCTTTCTTCACCCAGAATGATAGCTGAAACTAATCATTATTTTAATCTTTCACTCGCGGTCTTGATAATGAACAAGACAAACATCAAATAATACCGTAAATGTTATTGCGACACGTGTCCGCAGACGCCACTCTCACTGTTCCAATGTGTAACACACTATGGCGATAATAATGTTAGTTTTTGTTTAAATTTTACACATTTACCTATTCCCGTACATAAAATGTTTGATATAACCTACCTTAGTACAACTACTTAATAAAATACTTACATAATAATAAGATAATAGACACCAGCGGTTAATTTGTCAGTGACTCACGAGGGCCCGATAAATAAAAGTAGCACCTATTGTTTTCATCATCATAGCGATCAGTGGCCGAGATGCAACTGAACAACACGAACACGCTTTTTCTCCTATTAATTCCCCTGGAGTAGCGAATCTGCTGTAGAACATCGTCAGTCTAACATAATACAACAGCATTAACTGTAGTTTAATCTGTGCAATAGATCAGTCCTTGCAACATGCAGGACAGAAGTCTAGCCTCACTAACAAGGAACATGAAGCTATTTAGGCGACTACTGGAACACAATTTAGGCAACATCGAAAGCATATATTTAACACATGCTATATGAAGGAGGCAACATGAACACATAAAGGTGGCAACATGAACACATGAAGATGGCAACATGAACACATTAAGGTGGCAACAGGAACACATTACGGTGGCAACACTGAGGCACAGTAGAATGACATCAGATTCATACGAAGTGATACTAACACAAAGGACCGACACAGTTTAAGATAACTACGGTGAAATACTTCAGTTCCTCCGAAAAAAGTGAAAATCCACACCTCCAGGATCATGAAACGCATTTAAGATGTTGGGTCAAGGAATGGTGTTATTCTCTCTGATTAAAGTAAGGTTCCATATGAGGCGCCTAGAATGGGAATGGCGTATCTCCAAAACGCCTGTTTTGAATAAATCGCATTTAAAGTTATGTACCATGGGAACTACTGCATGGATTTCAATGACACTTTCCACAAAAGTTGGACTGTATAAGGGATGTTGCCTGTGGAAAATTGAGCCCCATATGACAGCCCCCCCCCCCCAAAAAGTAAAAATATATATATATATATATATATATATATATATATATATATATATATATATATATATATATATATATATAAAGAAAAAAGTCAGTCAAAATTTTCACGAAACTGGTTAGTTATGTGCTCTTCCAATAGAATTTTCGACCTTGCGGCGGTGTAAGCGACACTCAGGCTTGATCAGGTAGAACAAAGGCCAGTGAACACGCCTGTGGCCATATCTCCAAAACGTGATTTTATCGCTTACGTCCCATTCTAGGCGCCTCGTATCACCGACCATTCTTTAAAATCACGTCACATAGGGATAATTGCGAAATAGCTATATTAATATTCTGGTATAATGAATAAATAACGTACAGATCTTCGAGAATTAAGACTGCATAAAATTGGATAGGAACTACAAATCCCCATGCGCTCCTCTCAGTCACAGACCTCCATAAAATATCATGGTGTGGGACAACTTACCCCACCCATTGGAGCAAAGACTACGCTCCCTTCCTTTAAATCTTCTCTTAAAATATATCTATTGTCCAAGTACTAATATTTTTTGTAATACCTACTTGATATTCCTGCTTTTATTGTACCTCCAAAACCGCTTTATCAGAAATTGTCGTGTAGATAGATGAAAATTACAATTGCAATAAATATATTTGCCAACTTGGCATGATACTGACAGCTCTGTCCTCTTGTTCCACCTTGATACAACCCCTGATGTACTACTTCCCTCCCTTATCATCTTTATGTATTCAACTCCACTGTAAAGTATGTATATACTTATAATATAATAAAAAAAAAAATGTCAAACTAAAAAATAATTAATATCGAAGTGATAACCAAGGTAACATTCTGATGTTTTTATGACCACCATGCTATGTGTACGATTCCAGTTAATACTAAATGTCACATAATACTTCCTTGAGATAAATGTACTGTACAGTATATATCAGGTGCCAACAAGAGAGCTCAGGCTCTCAACTGGCTCAGCCATGTTAATGATGGTGCAAAGTGTCCTATAGCTGTTATAGGGCAAAATCTCATTTAACTTGCTGTTAAAGCTCTAACTCGTGGCAATACGGATTATATTAGTAAGTAATTTAATGTGTATAGTGATCGGAATACAAGAGGAATGCTGTTTTGAGTTTGTGAACTACAACAAGTCAAATACGAAAAATATTTCTGTGATACTTAGTATGCTGGCAAAAACACCCAGTGGTGTCTCCTCAACAGCAGTCGACTAGTAAGTTTAAGATGTAAAGGCGGTGGCTGTGATTTTTTTATTGTTCATCTAGTGTATTGTTCATTTACAAGTTTTTCACACTCCCGTAAAGATACTCAACTTTCTCTTCAGTTTACATTACTGTAATTTCTCATAATTATTGTGATTACGTAAACATAAACACACCATTGCTCTCTTGTAACACTCCTGAACCATCCCTGCCTCATGTTCGGGCATTGTACTGTACTACCTATCCTCCAAGACGCAGAAACTGGACTACGAATAACATCAAGTATGCCCACGCTAATTGTTGGAAAGGAGTACAAGAAAATTAATGCAACGTCAAAACTGAACGACATCACACCAGCACTCTTCATTTATTACTGCATAATTTAGTCTGGCTTAATACATATAATCAGTGTTTTTTTTCCTGTTGTATTTCTTTCCGCCCGGCGCAATGACAGAATAAATTCGCCATATACTAGAATTGTGCGTCTTTTCATATCTCTATTTATTGTTAAAATGGTAAAAAAAAGTATTACAGTACCTTCAAAATATTCAACCTCAAAACATTCTTTAACAACCAAAGAACTTCTCACTAAAATGACTCGGTTTGTCTTACTTTAGTTATTTAATAATTTATTTCTGACCTTTTACACTGAATGATAGTCCAAGGAGAAACCACCACCGAGGGGTATATCCTCTGAAGGGTAACCCAACATAATCGACAAAGTGATCCATATTCAAGTGGATTAATGTGGGTGGGTGTGTGTATGAGTGGGTGTGTGTGTGTATGTGTGTGTGTGTGAGCCGAGTGTCATGATTGTGTTGGCGGTGGACACGCGCCAAGAGAAAATGGCGGACAGCCAGTCAGTACTGGTTCAAACTATTATAATTAATTTTCAGATCCCTAAACAAATTTTCGTGGGCATATGGTCTGACGTCACATCATCTGTGCACACTTCTACACATACCACTATAAATAAAATTTACCAGTAAATATAGGATCAAAATAAACAAGGGAACAAACATAAATGAAACCCGAATTAATGTATAAAAAAAAGACGATACCATGATAAGGATGAAAATTATATAAGGTATATAAATAGACACTGGGCATACTTCAGTCAATACCCCGGGCCAAATCAACACATCCAAACTAACCTAACTAAAATTCAGCATTAATAATGTATAGCCTACAGACGAATTTTGACAATAATAATAATAATTTACCCAGGGACAATTTCAGCATAGCTCAGCGCCGCACATGGCCATTCTAATCACAAATAAACGTCTAAGTTTTCGATGCTATAATGTATTACTGTGCTTCAACAAATTTGGTCTTCCATGCGTATTCTTGGTTAGTATACACATTACACATCAACAATAAAAAAAACGAAGTGTGTTACATATATTTGGTCTACCATATATTTATCTATAAAAAAAATAGTTAATGTACAAAATTTCACCGAGCACTTAACTGATTTGTCGAAGACAGTCTTCAGTTTCTCAATATAGTCCGTCTTACTAAAATGAATGAAAACAGATAATGAACTGAAGTCTTGATTACTGAAATACATCAAGATGCTGTCCCGAAAATTAAGTGGGACAGGAAGTCGACATAACGTTCCAGTTCATTTAAGTTTAAATATTTACACACATCAAAATTCGTGATTATTTATCAGCAAAATAAACAAAATTATATTCACTATCAACACTGCGAACATTAATACTTTATTCCTACATAATCCTCATTTTTCTTCACCGTTAATATTGATTTAAATTAGTTTGTACTAAATCTCAATACTTAATTATTTCAATGTTTACTTCCAAACGTATTATGCAAAAGTAAGCAAATGATATTTTCATTATTTTTTGCAGTGGTTTCGTGTACCGTCATATGCACAGTACACGCATACTGTTACAGTGTATGTGTAGTATTTAAAATATATATTTCGTACGAGCATTGCAGGCTAATATTATAATTTGCAAAATTATACATGAACCACGCAAATATTTCTTTTGGTACAATTTTTTGACGTATTGACAGGTGGATGTTACAAAACGCTGATGTGAATATAAGGAGCGTGATGTGTGGTGGTGTGGTGTGGTGGCGGCGGCAGGAGTGTGTGTTGCTGGGGGCGTTACCGTCTGCTATACCCTGACACGAGGCTCCTGCTGGTGTTGACGGCTCCTGGAAGCGCTGACGGTGCTGCTGGCTATACCTCCTGCCTTGCTATAAGTTATGGCGGCACTCTCGGTAGATAAGGTGCTGGTTGGGATACTACCAGTCCTTCGGGGGATGCTGTTATAGGGTGGTGGTGGGTGCTCCTGGTAGATGGGTAGCTACTAGCGGTGCTCCTGGTAGATGTGCAGCTAGTAGTGGTGCTCCTGGTAGATAGGTAGCTACTAGCGGTGCTCCTGGTAGATGGGTAGCTACTAGTGGTGCTCCTCGTAGATGGGTAGCTACTAGTGGTGCTCCTGGTAGATGGGTAGCTACTAGTGGTGCTCCTGGTAGATGGGTAGCTACTAGTGGTGCTCCTGGTAGATGGGTAGCTACTAGTGGTGCTCGGTAGATGGGTAGCTAGTAGTGGTGCTCCCGGTAGATGGGTAGCTACTAGTGGTGCTCCTGGTAGATGGGTAGCTACTAGTGGTGCTCCTGGTAGATGTGCAGCTACTAGTGGTGCTCCTGGTAGATGGGTAGCTACTAGTGGTGCTCCTGGTAGATGGGTAGCTTAGTGGTGTAGCTACTAGTGGTGCTCCGGTAGATGGGTAGCAACTAGTGGTGCTCCTGGTAGATGGGTAGCTACTAGTGGTGCTCTGGTAGATGGGTAGCTACTAGTGGTGCTCCTGGTAGATGGGTAGTTAGATGGGTAGCTACTAGTGGTGCTCCTGGTAGATGGGTAGCTAGTGGTGCTCCTGGTAGATGGTAGCTACTAGTGGTGCTCCCGGTAGATGGGTAGCTACTAGTGGTGCTCCTGGTAGATGGGTAGCTACTAGTGGTGCTCCTGGTAGATGGGTAGCTACTAGTGGTGCTCCCGGTAGATGGTAGCTACTAGTGGTGCTCGGTAGATGGGTAGCTACTAGTGTGCCCGGTAGATGGGTAGCTACTAGTGGTGCTCCTGGTAGATGGGTAGCTAGTAGTGGTGCTCCTGGTAGATGGGTTACTTGTGGTGCTCCTGGTAGATGGGTAGCTACTAGTGGTGCTCCTGGTAGATGGGTAGTTACTTGTGGTGCTCCTGGTAGATGGGTAGCTACTAGTGGTGCTCCTGGTAGATGGGTAGCTACTAGTGGTGCTCCTGGTAGATGGGTAGCTACTAGTGGTGCTCCTGGTAGATGGGTAGCTACTAGTGGTGCTCCCGGTAGATGGGTAGCTACTAGTGGTGCTCCTGGTAGATGGGTAGCTACTAGTGGTGCTCCTGGTAGATGGGTAGCTAGTAGTGGTGCTCCTGGTAGATGGGTTACTTGTGGTGCTCCTGGTAGATGGGTAGCTAGAAGTGGTGCGCCCGGTAGAGCTACTAGTGGTGCTCCTATCTATCTGGATTGTCTCTATTAACGTATATACAAGTCGCTAATAACTGTAACTTGCATCTTAATACTTTGAGTTACAGTACAAACGAACTGTAACGTGCTATGTATATACTGATGTTTAATATTCCTGTTCGCTATTTGAAGACAAAAAAAATCGATGTACCAATTTAAAGAACTGAGACTTTCTTCAAAGGAGGTTTGCTTTGACGGCAGATATTGGACGTTCAAGTAAATGTTATTACTTTTACTTTTATCCTCTTCGCCACTGATCGGCTTGTTAGCCGCTTGGGCGATCGGTCACGACTCTTTTCCTTTATATTCTTCACCAAAAGGTCGGCTCGCTAGCCGCCCGGGCGATCGGTCACGTCTCTGTCACGCACTGTTGGCAAATACTGGGCATGCACCGGCTCCTGAATGTACCTGAACCCGCTCCAGTGTTGGTCAAGTCTTCTCTTGAAAGAGCTCACACTCGGTGCCGTCACAACACTTTCTGGTAGATTGTTCCAAGAGTTTACAACCCTCACTCCGAAAAAGTTTGCCCTCACGGTTTTCCGGACTTGCGGCTTCTTCAATCTTGAGCTATGACCCCTTGTGGGGCGAGCGTCCGCCAGCTCCAAGTAAGGACACTCAACTGAGTAGTGCCCCCTGAGATGCTTATAAACCTCAACTAGGTCCCCCCTTGCCCGTCTGTAGTATAAGCTAGGCAAGTTCAGGCGCTCCAATCTCGCAGGGTAGCTGAGATGCCGAAGTGCAGGCACCAGCTTGGTGGCCCTCCTTTGAACATTTTCAACCAACTGACAGTCCCTAGCATATCTCGGGGACCAGATGGGGTGACAGTACTCCAGATGGGGAAGCACTTCACTCCTGAAGATCGTCACGAGGGACGGACCGTCTAGATATCTGAACGACCTTCTTATAAGACCCAATAATTTATTTGCCTGATTTACCTTCTTCTCACAATGGCCCGAGAACTTCAGCTCATTGTCAACATACACACCTAGGTCCTTCTCACACACAGTCTCAACTAGTACATTTTCTTCATCCCGTTGGGACATATGGTACGCCTCCTTACCGTTGGTACGCCCCAGGTGCATCCTCTTACACTTCGTGACATTGAATCTCAGCAGCCATTCCTTCGACCATTCCTGGAGCCCACAGAGGTCCTTCTGCAGCTCTTCACAGTCCGCTTGGTTCTTAATTTCCCGAAATAACTTGGCGTCATCGGCAAACATTTGTATGGAGGAGTGTACAACGTCAGGCATATCATTTATGAAACAAACAAACAACAGCGGGCCCAATACACTACCCTGCGGTACCCCACTTGTTACAGGTACAGATGACGATTTCGTGCCATTAATCACCACACATTGCTTGCGGTCATGTAGAAAGTCTTCTATCCACGCTAGGACATTTCCCCGAATTCCGTACCCTTCCAGTTTGATTTTCAGCCTTTCGTGGGGTACACTGTCGAAAGCCTTGGCAAAATCTAGGTAAATATTGTCGATATTACCACCCCGTTCTAGAATATGGGTCCAAATATCCAATACCTTGAGCAATTGTGTCAAGCAAGAGCGCCCCGGCATAAAACCGTGTTGGCAATCTTTTACAAGGTTGTTTCGTAGTAGATGTTCCATCGCTGCATCTCTGATAATACTCTCAAGTACTTTACATATTATGCTGGTCAGGCTCACCGGTCTATAGTTGTTCGTGGAGTGCCTATCGCCCTTCTTGAAGATAGGACTCACATAAGCCACTTTCCATTCACTGGGGACCATTTGTTCATCCAGGCATTTACAAAACAGAATCTTCAGGGGCTCTGCAAGCTCGTTGCACAGCTCCCTTAGCACTCTTGGATGCACCATGTTCGATACAGAGTTAAGTCTAATCTGAAACAACCAAGGTAAACGTGTTGTGTTAATATTATAATGTATTACTGAGGTTAAACTACTCCTAAGGCCATGAAGAAAAAAAACTTGTTTCATGAATCATACGTTTGTTTATTAATGTTAAGATTAATAAGTGAGCTTCTGCGAGAGAAAAAAAAAGGTCTTTGGATGGGTTACGTTTGTTAAAGATAAGTAAGATTTAGTTTTATTAATTTAGAATCGATTCGTATTTCGGTTTGGGCGTCTGTAATGTTTTTTTTTTTTTATTGTATAGAAATATTTATACCCATCAATCCCGATTTCATCTATGACTTGCGTTATTTGTTACCACGCTTATATGTTCTTTATTGGGTTCAGTATCAATAATAAATTCAATTAAATACATAAATAAATCAACAGGTGAAAGTTATGGATTATCGTTTGTTTATAATCCTCAATATTACGTAATCGTTTTCGCGGTTTAATTATTATTTTATTTATTTATTTTTTTGCCAAGACACTGGACACCCTAGATTGTACACGAATATGGACAATTAAGTTCAGTTGTTAAAACTTAAAATACGTTTCACTGAAAGCTTTCCTTAAAAACTAAAACTAGTCTTACCAGCCAAAAGAATAGATCTGAATTACTCGTCTAAAGTCTACCGCTTCGTGTTATACCGCCTTTGTGACCATTTCAACGTTTCCATGTAATGTGAAAAACAAAGAATATTGCTGATGCATTAAGACAAAAGCATTGGATTCCTTTCGTCGCCTCTGGGGAAATAAACAAAACAGAAATGATAAAGCAGAAAAGGAAGTTTTGAGTCGAGGTTTGTCTTCCCGGAGCGTCGTGTCACTCAAAGCCGCCATCGTGGGAGGGAGGGCGAGGAGCTGCCGTTTGTTGTGATAGTGTAGTGCGTCGCTTATAAACCATAATGGGCAAACTTGCTCTGATTTACTGGCCAAGCGCCACTATCACTTTATTCCTTAGTTTCTCAATGCCACCAGATGTGTGGATAAATCTGGCTAACTTAAACGTGCACCAATATTCATTTCACTCAACAGAACAAGGATTAATATTTACCCAAAATAAATCTTCAACAGCTTCGAAAACGAAATATTTCACAAATACAGACAGGAAGTATAACGAACTGAAACGCTCGTATGTTCTCCCTCTACATTTCATATCGTCCAGTAAATATCATAATCAGAGACAACTCCCTCATTCAACGCCTGAGACAATAAAGTTTTGGCGCATGAGGAACTTACAGGTGAAAGGGTAATGTTCCCAGGTTATGAGGCGTGAATCATGTTTCGCCCTACAACCGTTTTACCCTGGGACGTCATCAGGGTGTCAGGCACGTCCAGCATTAAAATTTCAGGGCCTACCAGTGACCGGCATCCTGGATAGTTACTGCAATTTATCTTTCCAGCTAAATTACTGCAGATAATTTAAATGTGCATATTTACGTCTGCTATTATGCTTTGAAGCAAATACAATTATGTAATCAGTACCATTATGTAACAGTTTTAAGGTAATTAAAATTAAGCGCAATATTATCCTTACTAAACCCAACTAGACCTAACCTGACCCTAATTACTTAAATTATGGTTACATACCATTAATGTACAGAACTATGAAAAAATTATCACTTTTGTATCGCATATACATTATCTTACTATTGTTAAATTAAAATACATATTTTTAATATTTTATATAATTTATAGTGAGGACAGATTAGATTCAAGTTGTATACAGGATTCCCAGAAGTTTGCTCAGAAAAAAATCAAGTCTTTTCCAAGTCCAGATTTCCTTTTTTCAGGGCTCATTTATTTCGTCATATAAAATATTTTAAACAAACAACAAAAATATATATCCATGTTTCTTTTCGGCCTCTACATGACAACTTATCGGATAAAAATTTTCCATTCACATTATCATTTGATTACCATAACCTTCGGTAATGTAAAATATTATTAGACAATATAATTACTGTATAGTTACCCGTTAATAAGAAAATGTGCTATCGAGATAAATAAAAATATAACAGCAGAGCACATGGTACCTTGAATTAACAAATTAAAATCAGTAAACATTAAAATGTCATTGTCTGACGAGAATACACAACAAGATATCATTTAACAACAAAAATGGTAGCTATA